CGATTAGCTCACATGAGTGAGAAGGAGATCCCTCATTTCTTTTGCCAAAGGTATATCATTAGATTCATGTTATTATTGTTTACTTGGTAAACAACATAGAGTTTCATTTTAGAAATCCTCTAGTAGAAAGTCTAATATTTTAGATTTGATTTATTCTAATGTTTGTGGTTCTATAAAGGTAGAGTCCTTGGGTGGCACTAAGTATTTTCTTACTTTTATTGATGATGCTTCACGAAAGTTGTGGGTGTTTTATTTGAGATTAAAAGCCCAAGTTTTTTAGCACTTCAAGAAGTTCCATGCGATGATGGAACAGGAAATCGGAAAGGTTCTAAAATATCTCCAAACTGAAAATAAAAAGAAAACATATATCTAAAGTGTTTGAATATTACTGCTCAAAACATGGTATCGGACATGAGAAGACAGTTTCTGATACCCCACGGTACAACAACATGGCAAAGAGAATGAACCGCACCATTGTGGAAAAATGAAGCACGTTAAGGATGGCTAGGTTACTTAAGTCATTCTGGGGTGAAACGGTTCCAATATCGTGCTACCTAATCAACTAGTCTCCATTAGTTCTTTTGGAATTTGAGATTCCAAAAAATGTGTGGACAGGAATGAATAGTTCCCATTATCACTTGAAGGTTTTTTGGTACAAAGTATTTGCACATGTGCCTAAGGAACAACATTTCAAACTAGATGATAAAGCTAGTGCTTGCATTTTTATTGGCTACGAAGATGAAGAATTTGGCTATAGACTATAGGATCCAAAAAAGAATAAAATAATCAGAAGTAGAGATGTGAGTTTTTATAAAAGTCAGAAGTTAGCAAATTTCGAGAAATCTGATAATGAAAGACATGTTGCTGAGGGTGTCATTGACCTTATTACTATCTCTTTGCCTCCAGACAGTATCACTCAGGGGTAGAGACTAGCATTGATAGTCATGCTAATGAGCCAGCAGGGGTTGATGATGATGATTTAGAGAATGTTGAGTAGGCGAAGCAACCTACTATATCGAAACTTCATATTAGAAGATCTATTAGGAAGCATCATCTATCAACCAAGTATCATGTATTAGATTATGTGTAGGTAAGTGATGAGAGAGAGCCAAAATGCTTTTAGAAGATACAATCTCATAAGAACAAATAGAGCTGGATGATAGCTATGTAGGAAGAGATGAATTATTTGCAGAGAATAACACTTATGAGTTAGCAGAGCTTTCTAAAGGCAAAAAGGCATTGAAAAATAAGTAGGTGTTTATTCCAAAGAAAGACGGTGAAATGCTAGTGAAGTATAAAGCTCGACTGGTTGTAAAGGGCTTCGAGCAAAAGAAAAGGATTGACTTCAATGAGATATTCTCTCCAGCTGTCAAAATAGCTTCTATTCAAGTGGTCTTGGGTTTAGTAGGTATTTTTGAGGAAGAAATCTACATAGTTCAACCAGAGGGATTTGAAGTAAGAGAAAAATAACATATGGTTTGCAAGTTGAAAAAGAAATTGTATGTGTTAAAACATGCTCCAAGATAGTAGTATAAGAAGTTTGATTCCTTATAAATTGTATCGGAGTTCATGATACATGCTAAAGGAATCTTCTAAATTTTAATTCCATAAAATATATAACTTCACTAAAATCGAGATCATTTTTGTATTTACGAAAAGCACTTGCAATTATATAAAGACATTTAAGCACCATACAACTAGTAGGATAATATACTCCAAATAAAATATTTGTAAAGTTATAAAAGCTTGTCAATATTTTTTAAAACTTTTGAAGTTAAAAGCCAATTAGATTCGTTCAAAATAGTATTATCATTGTTTCTAATATGCTTATTGTTATGAAATACAGTTATTAAATGTTCAAACCCTTCACATGATTTTAATGACAAGTAAGTGGAATTTCATCTATGCCCTATGTCACTAACAAATATTTTTGTATTCATCACCCCAAATTTGACACAAAATTCTTCTAAAACTTGTTTTCTAGTAGGTGAAATCATGATATATATTAGTGCATCCCTAATTTTTTGAACTTTATTCTTAATATATTCCAAACCATCCTGCACAATTAAACTAAAAACATGACATACATAGTGAATATGAAATAAATAACCACCGAAATCGAGCAGCAGAACCCTACACAATTTATCGACAATTGATTTATTAACACTAGTGTTGTCAAATGCAAAAGAACATATTTTACTTTCGCAATGATATTCTCTAATAGTGTTCATAATAATGTTATATATATTGTTAGTGTTGTGAGGGAACTCAATAATTTTAAAAGTAACAATTTTTTTATGCATACACCAAAGTGGGTTTATGTAGTGTACAGCTGCAACTATATAATTTTTTTTAATTAATCACTTCCTATATATCCGAAGTTAAAGTTATAACACCCACATATTTTTGCAAATTGGTAATTAATTATTTTTTGTATGAAGGAAATACTCTATTATATCATAACAAAGAGTATTTCTACTTGTCCCAACATAACTATGTTAAAGATATTCTTACACATAAAAGACGAAATATTGGTTGTCCTCTATTACTAGAGGCAACTTAGCACTAGCAACAAACTTCACCATTCCCATTCGAGTTTTTCAAATACATCCACATACAAAGCGTCCTAGAAGTAGAACCGGTAGTTGAACTACCAAATTGCAGTTGAGTTTAACCGACAACAAAAAGCCCATATTTGGTCGTACATACTTTGTAGTGATAGTTCAAGTGGGTGGTACCAATGCCCTTCTGTCATGCCAATCATTGTTGACAGTATTTACATGCTGCTTTAAACTCTAGAATTCTATTGACCACATGACCCATTGGAATCAATTTAAAGTGATCCCAATATTTTGCCTTTTTTTCCCCTTTCGCTTCTCTAGTGTCGGGAATATCTAATTCATGTTCCTCCTCATTTTTCACGTAGGGAACATCAACTTCATCTATATCAACTGGATACTATTTCCATAAGCATCCAAATCTTGAAAAATTTTTAGAATTGGTACTTCGTTAAGACTGGTAAATTCATTCTGAAATTGACTTTGCGATGTCATAGATGATTCATCTCTGACATCATCGAACAATTACTCAACAAATGAGAGTGGATCCATTTGTGAATTGCGAACTTTTTATGAAATGTATAGAATATTTATAGTGTACTTAGTGATTAAGCGAATAAATTTTTAGTGTGGTAAAGTAAATTGGTTGTTGATATTGAAAAATTGCATTGAATGTAGAAATTATTAATGAATGTAGTAGATTGTGTAGAATGTAGAAGAGAGTGAGAATTGTTGTTGTTGGAATGTTATGTGAAAAAAATTGAAAATTGTTTGGCGGTAGTTGTAGAGTGAAAAAAGAATGAAATTTTTTTTAAAGTGGCCAAAACGGCCACTTCTAGCAGCAACTAAAGCAGTGAGAGAAATGCTTTGGATGAAACAGTTTCTCCAAGATCTGGATTTGAAGGAAGATGTGTATGTAGTTAATTGCGATAGTCAGAGCGAATTAGACTTGAGTAAGAATGCTACTTATCATTCTCGGACGCAATGCATTGTGGTGCTGATATAATTAATTCAACCCATTTTAACATCTTTGCTCGAAATTTATTGGGTATCAAAACCCAATAATAGCACTACTGAATATATTTTAAAACGAAAGATGGATACTAATATTGCATAAACAATGTGAACAACAATTAAAAATGAGCTTTAAGTTTATTTTATTGTTGTGTAGACCAGGTTTTCATTAGAAATTTGACATAACAGCACTTCAAGATGGCAAATTACAATTTTAATAGTGTTTCCTTTATTTATACAATCATGCTATATAAATTGGATCGAAGCACGATTAGAAATGGAGGATACATGGCAGCATTACAGCGTACTGAATTCCTCAAATTTTATTGGACCAAGGCAAGAAAGAAAGTTTGAGTGTGGTTATTTCTTGGCTTAGATGAAATTGTGTCAACAAATATATCGTATTTGATAAGATTCCAGATTTTGTTGATATTATTATTGAAAAGACCATATGTTATAGTTTGATTTGATTTTAAGATTAAGAGAAGAAGAAGAAGGCAATAATGCAATTAAATACGGTAGCTAGTAGTTCTGGAAAGGTTGAGCAAATCTTCCCAGGCATGTTGAAGAATAGAGGTTCAAATATAAGGAAGATGGCTGATGAGATTCAACAATCCGAGGGCAGACGTAAGTATTTGGGCACAATTTTTTATCTATTTTTGTTATACAAGTTGATTATTAAAAATTTGAGCATCCACTCTTGAAAAATCTAGTCGCAATATTACTATACAATACATGAAACACTTACACTAAATTTTAGGTTTCATGAGCTCAACTATACAGGCCTCGAACCAAAGACTCCCAAACCTACACATGACATTTGTAATACTAACGTAAGATTCAACCTTTATGACTATGTCCACGTCGGATAAAACCGTGTCTTACAACAGGAGAATCTATTATTCTACCAACCTTGTCCCTTGTCTTTTCTTTCTACCTTTTTTTATTTCCTACAACAGCCAATTTTTTTTACACGTGTATTCAACAAGTTTCCATGGACTAAACTTACCAGGATAGTATTAAATTAAAATGATTCAGTGCAGTAGAAAATGGTACGACAAGAATGCTGGAAAACTGTCCCGCATTAGTTTCATACACAATCCTAAGATCACTATCGGATCGTGCCTACTCAAATTTCTTGGAAACTTCCTTCAACTTATCAAACTACTTATCTATATATAAATGAATGAATCTATCCTAATAAATTACTTCATCAGTACCAAAAATTATCTAGCTAGGCATGGATAGGATCTTAAATCATTCGTGGTTATAAGTTATAATGAGATATTTATATTGTTATTACGGATAGACCATCATGTGTAGCATTTTTTACTTGTGAAGTAAGTAGCTAATCTCACAAATTAAAGTATAGCGACACTTAAATGAACACGTGGATGTTTTATTATAAAACAAAATATCGGAGATCCGATGAAAAATTCTAAATACCGGGGTGTCAGGAAGCGAAAATGGGGGAAATGGGTGTCTGAAATTCGCGAACCAGGTAAGAAAACTCGAATCTGGCTTGGGAGTTTTGAGACACCAGAAATGGCAGCCGTGGCATATGATGTGGCTGCATTGCACCTTAGGGGCCAATCTGCACACCTTAATTTTCCACAATTGGCACCTAGTCTTCCCCGTCCAACTAACACAACTCCTGAAGATATAAGATTGGCAGCCCAACAGGCGGCTTCAGCCTTTGCCGGGAGATCATGGGATGGCTCCAGGGTGGGGAGTACTTCTGCTGCGGCCGATCAAGGGCCGGTGACAGTAGGACTGTCACCAACACAAATTCAGGCCATACAAGAGTCACCTTTGGACTCGCCAAAAATGGGGAATGCACTACTAACGTTGGAAGAATCTTTATTTTTTACTAACGAATATGAGATGAGCGATTGTGAAGAGGAAGCTGGTGACCCACTTTGGGGGCCCTAGGGTTAATTTGTGATATGTCTTTCAAGCCATGGAGTCATTACTCAACTTTATTCATACTTTTTGACCTTCTGTTTTGTTTTCTGGTGCCAAAGTAGATGCAGTCAACAGACTAATTAAAGAGCGAGCACCATTACCTGCTTTCTTATAATTAATAGCTTCACTCTACGTTGAATTAAATTTTTAGATTAAATGATTGAACATAGTATAACATCAAACAAAGTTCTTCGGATTATCGTCGTCACACATTTAATAAAATGTTAACATATCAGGCACGTGAGGAGCATGAAGACAAGATTTAAATTATAGCATTTCTAACGTTTTAAACTTTAAATAATAATAATAATAATAATTAAATGATTCAACATCTATTTTCTTTCTATGCTATGCTTTCGTGCACAGGCCTAGCAGGCTAGCATGCTTCGTGTTCGAATAGTTTTCGCCAATCAATCCACTTCCTTGAGGCAAAGAACCTTGAATGAATAGAGGATCACGCTTTTGGTTGAACAATGTAAATCCAAACTCGATCGTAGAAGAATGAACGATGTAGACAGAAAAATAATTTATTAATTAGTAAGCAGATTACAGCTGTTTCCCAAGACGAGGGGTGGATTAGTTTTGAATGAATTATAATATATATATTGTTGTTTGGAGGGGCATTCTAAGGGTAACATCAAAATGATGATTCATAAATTTAATCTGGTTCATGACGGTGCTTCTAGTCCATCTGCATCGGATTTTTGTGGTCCACATAAATATATAAAATAGGTCAAAATACGTAAATTGTCGGTTTGAAGCAATAAATTATTAATCAATTGGCTGACGCATTACGCTTGAAAATATCCATCTCGTATTTTACATGTTTGATAGAGAATTACAACAATTCATTTTAAAAGTAATTGCTCATATTAAATCCTGAGCTCATCATCTTAATCATTTTCAAACTCGATTAATTTAGCTATTGAGCGTCTAGCACTACTGACTATTGATCATAAATATACATATTTGATTGTAGATAAAATGTTACTATTCCTTCTTTTTATCCATTTAGTACCTTGGATCTAATCGTCTTGATCATTGCTTCAAATACTTCATTGATCATAATACCTTATTGAAAGCTCCATAATATTTGTTGACATCTATCAAGTCATCGAGATTACGTGGAGTTACATGAACTCGAAGAGAAAGTCATGAAAAATATGCTCAAAAATTAAGTATTTCGTTTGAACCTTTACTTAGACTACCATAGCCATATCTACTATAGCCAATATCATATCTATGTAATGTTTGAAACATTATTACCGATCAAAAAGAAAATGTTTGAAACATGATGCTAAAAAAATCAGTAGTTTATATGAAAAAAAGTCTTGACAAAGTACTCCCAAACCTACACATGACATTTGTAATACTAACGTAAGATTCAACCTTTATGACTATGTCCACGTCGGATAAAACCGTGTCCTACAACAGGAGAATCTATTATTCTACCAACCTTGTCCCTTGTCTTTTCTTTCTACCTTTTTTTATTTCCTACAACAGCCAATTTTTTTTACACGTGTATTCAACAAGTTTCCATGGACTAAACTTACCAGGATAGTATTAAATTAAAATGATTCAGTGCAGTAGAAAATGGTACGACAAGAATGCTGGAAAACTGTCCCGCATTAGTTTCATACACAATCCTAAGATCACTATCGGATCGTGCCTACTCAAATTTCTTGGAAACTTCCTTCAACTTATCAAACTACTTATCTATATATAAATGAATGAATCTATCCTAATAAATTACTTCATCAGTACCAAAAATTATCTAGCTAGGCATGGATAGCAACAAGTTGCAGAGTGGCTTAAGTTCGGCCTACCGGGGTGTCAGGAAGCGAAAATGGGGGAAATGGGTGTCTGAAATTCGTGAACCAGGTAAGAAAACTCGAATCTGGCTTGGGAGTTTTGAGACACCAGAAATGGCAGCCGTGGCATATGATGTGGCTGCATTGCACCTTAGGGGCCAATCTGCACACCTTAATTTTCCACAATTGGCACCTAGTCTTCCCCGTCCAACTAACACAACTCCTGAAGATATAAGATTGGCAGCCCAACAGGCGGCTTCAGCCTTTGCCGGGAGATCATGGGATGGCTCCAGGGTGGGGAGTACTTCTGCTGCGGCCGATCAAGGGCCGGTGACAGTAGGACTGTCACCAACACAAATTCAGGCCATACAAGAGTCACCTTTGGACTCGCCAAAAATGGGGAATGCACTACTAACGTTGGAAGAATCTTTATTTTTTACTAACGAATATGAGATGAGCGATTGTGAAGAGGAAGCTGGTGACCCACTTTGGGGGCCCTAGCTAGCTAGGGGAACTTAATTTAACGTATCAACTGGTGAAACAAAACGTGAACATCTTAATTAAACAAATTAACAAAAATTATTTATAATTATTATATAATAGTGGAGAAAATTCAAATGCATGCTTAGTGACTTAAAATGTGCAACTCTCCAAGTTTATAAAGAGTGTTGCACAATTATAGTTTTAGCAATTTTTTTTATTTATGGATTCTAATGTTTGACTTTCCCAGGAAAAGAGTTAGAATTTGATTGGTTATCTAGCTACTTATATGTTGTATTGATGATGTCATGTAATTAAAATTTCCACATAAAGGTGTGCTCTATTTATGATATTTATTATCTAGTTTCGATCTTTTATTTTTTTATAGTTTATTTTCCTTTTATATTTTTTATCATGATCGTTAATGGAATTATTGATTTAAATAGATATATTATCAACTTTTTTGCCTTCTACTTAAGTGAATTACTTACACCTACATTTTAATCCTGTCAAAGGAGTTGTTGGATTCGGTTCGATTCAGTAAAATGTTATATAACGTGATTTGAGGTTATAATTGTTTAAGTCGAAATATATACCTACATGATCCACCACCAACTGAATATAACTTTCCTTGCACTTGACCTATTTTGAGAGTTCTATGATAAATTATAGAAATATAGCACTCTGATTTATTTGAAAATCATCAAAAGGATACTCGATAAACATAAACCCGAGCAAAACTCAATTAGCTCAATCTTCTAACTTAAATGGCTGCTTGGCCTGGGTATAACTAGACAATAGACCAAGTGATTTGTTGGACCAATCTACTCAATAAACCTTTTCTAAAAACACCCCACCAATTTATAGGGCACACCTCGAACAAGGAAGCAGAGAAGAAATATATACACCCAGTTACTAAGTAGTTTCTCTTAGCATCAGATATTATCTAAATGGTTCAAATCGGGATTCCACGGCATGGATCATCTTTATTACTCAACCATAAAGCAAGCAACAAGCAAAAGCCAAGTTAAAACTGTCTCTAACAATCTAGACACATTCCAATAATCAGCCTTGAGTCAGTCTTAAAAATTGAGCCAATTATTATGAATATCAAAGACAAGATAATGAACAAGATAAAAATAATAATAAGAAGAGCACTAGATTTATGATTATGCTTCTTATGTAAGGTAACCAAATAAAATTGGAATCACAGAACTTACATGTGTCTTGTACTCGAAACACATATCGTACATACTCCATGTTCTCATCAAGGATTAAGGTCAAAAACTCAAGTAGAAATAGATATTCAAGATAATCAATTAAAAGTGTATAATGTCACAAATGCGATGAGCACACATCATAAGGTAATACACAAATCTTTTCAACATGTTCAACATACAAAAAATATCAGACAACACCAAGTTAATCAAGTAAGTGACCAACATATACAACTAATACATAAATGACCCCATGAAAAGATCTCACCATAAATATCCTACATCATTCTGTGTGGCTTATATTTTGAGAACACATATCTCCTCTCATCACCTACCATGCCCTCTAGACTGATCACTCGTCATGCCTAACTAGTAAATCACAACAAATCATAAGTCCATGGGATGTTCATCTATCACTATGTCATCTCTCTCAACCTAGGTAGATAATGTGATGCGGAGGAGGATCCGAGTCGAGTGATACTGATCTATCAGATAGCACGTTGATGGTGTTGAGATACCATGAGATGGCGGATCAACGCAAAGATGGAAAATAAATGCAATCTTTCCTTATTTGGGGCAATTTTGACACGTTTTTAGTAATTTGGCCATAACTTTGACTACGGTTATCAGAATCGCCATTATGACCCCAATCCGAAAAGCTCTTTTCGGCGCACACATCGTGGTCATTAGGATATGCTCAGTGAGCATCAATGTTGAACCCAAAATTCGTTGTTTTCCTTTTCGAAATTCAATTTTTAGTTATTTTTTACTATTTACGGTAATATTTCATTTCCCTTTTTCTATATGTTAGAGAATCCGGATTAAGCCAAATTTTTGGCAACTTACTTCTTTTGTTTCATATTTTCTTTCGGTGATATTTTTGAGATTTTGCCATTTTTGGTAAATTTTCCATATTTTCGAATTTTCTTAGCTATTTAACCCGGCTTGTGTGTTAATTTTCGTCATTCTGCATTGATAATAAAATTGAGTTGATTACCTGTGTTTTTATGAGGCATTTTCTTTCTTACTTTTTTGGTGAATTGTGGGTACTTCATAGGTGTTATATTCAAAGTGGGTTTCTCACTTGGTTTATCTAACTAGTAGTATAGACTGAGATTATTGTTTACTTAGAGGTGGATCATTATTATTTTTCCAATTTGTTAATAACTCAAATTTTTTAGCATAAACTTGAACATTGTAATCATGGTTTATTATAGTGGATTTGGCCAGAGTTGCCTTATGATTTTTCCCTCTACATTGGAGGATTTTTTTTTTCCACGTAAAATTCGGTGTTGTGTTCTCTTATGTTGCTTTCCTTTTTCTTTAAGTATTTATTTGTTTTCTTGGATTGAATTGTTAATTTATACTTGTAAGAAGAGAAATTGCTTGACAAGTGGTATCAAAGCTCAAGTTGTGTGGGTGTGGTTTTATTGCGAAAGTAAATGGAGAATACTTCGAGCACGATGATTAAATTATCAGCTTCAAATTATTCTATTTGGAAGCCAATAATGGAGGATATTTTTTAATGTAAGGATTCACATGAATATAATAAAAGTGATAGTGTTAAGTCAGCAGTATGAGTGACAGTGATTGGAAGAAGACGAATAAAAAAAGCCATTGGATATGTTAAACAGTGAGTTGGTCTTAATATATTCCATCATATATCTTAATAGACAAGTGTGCATATCCTTTGGGAGAAACTAAGTGGTCTCTATGTTAGGAAGACTAGTTAAAATAAAGCTTTTACTATTAGAAAGCTTGTGAATCTGAATCTAAAGGAAGGGAAATCAGTTCTTGAGCATTTGAGTAAATTCCAACACTTGGTAAATCAATTGACCACAATGGAAATAGTGCAAGATGACGAGATGCAAGTACTATTACTTCTGAGTTCATTTCTTGGTAGTTCGGAGACTTTTGTGGTATCACTTTGTAACTCTACTTCAAATGGTATGTTTGGACTTACTCTAGTCAAAGATAATTTGTTTAATGAAGAAATAAGAAGGAAATACTTGGGTCGAAATGGTGCACAGGCTCTTATTATAGAGAACAACGAAAGGAGTAAAAGCAAAGATCCTGAGGAACGCGGTAATTCAAAAGTCAACCAAAGGTAAGAGGAAGGGTCAAATGTTTTTGTGAAAAAGAGGGCTGGCTATATAAAGAAACATTGCATGGCTAGGAAAAACAAACGGAAAGAGGAGAAAAATTAGAAAAATGCTAATCAGAATATGACAGCTAGCGCTTCTGATGAAGAAGTAGTTGTAGTAATTTTTCTGCTAAAGATGAGTAGTTTTGTCATGTTAGAAATTCATTTGTTGAATGGGTTATTGACTCAGTGTCTTCTCACCATATTACTCTAGGATGAGAACTCTTTGCTTCATACAAATTAGGTAATTTTGACAGGGTGAAAATAGGTAATGAGATTTTTGCCAACATTGTGGAAATTGGTGATATTTGTCTTCATACTAATATTGGATGCAGCTTGACATTGAAAAATGTGCGACATGCTCTAGTCATACACTTGAAATTTTCTATTTACACATGCTATTGATGAAGCAGGGTAGGACAATTAATTTGGTAATGGAAGATGGAAACTAATAAAAGGGTCGATGGTATTTGCTAGAAGACGGATTTGTTATACACAAGTAAAGGTGTATAGTAAAGTGATGAATGCAACTGAAAGTGATTCTTCACCAGACTTCCGGCACAAACGATTAGCTCACATGAGTGAGAAGGAGATCCCTCATTTCTTTTGCCAAGGGTATATCATTAGATTCATGTTATTATTGTTTACTTGGTAAACAACATAGACTTTCATTTTAGAAATCCTCTAGTAGAAAGTCTAATATTTTAGATTTGATTTATTCTAATGTTTGTGGTTCTATAAAGGTAGAGTCCTTGGGTGGCACTAAGTATTTTCTTACTTTTATTGATGATGCTTCACGAAAGTTGTGGGTGTTTAATTTGAGATTAAAAGCCCAGGTTTTTTAGCACTTCAAGAAGTTTCATGCGATGATAGAACAGGAAATCGGAAAGGTTCTAAAATATCTCCAAACTGACGATGAAAGGAAATATATGTCTAAAGTGTTTGAATATTACTGCTCAAAACATGGTATTGGACATGAGAAGAGAGTTTCTGATACCCCACAGTACAAAAACATGGCAAAGAGAATGAACCGCACCATTGTGAAAAAATTAAGCACGTTAAGGATGGTTAGGTTACTTAAGTCATTCTGGGGTGAAACGGTTCCAATATTGTGCTACCTAATCAACCGGTCTCCATTAGTTCTTTTGGAATTTGAGATTCCAAAAAATGTGTGGACAAGAATGAATAGTTCCCATTATCACTTGAAGGTTTTTTGGTGCAAAGCATTTGCACTTGTGCCTAAGGAACAACATTTCAAACTAGATGATAAAGCTAGTGCTTGCATTTTTATTGGCTACGAAGATGAAGAATTTGGACTATAGGATCCAAAAAAGAATAAAATAATCAGAAGTAGAGATGTGAGTTTTTATAAAAGTCAAAAGTTAGCAAATCCGAGAAATCTGATAATGAAAGACATGTTGCTGAGGGTGTCATTGACCTTATTACTATCTCTTTGCCTCTAGACAGTATCACTCAGGGGTAGAGACTAGCATTGATAGTCATGCTAATGAGCCAGCAGGGGTTGATGATGATGATTTAGAGGATGTTGAGTAGGCGAAGCAACCTACTATATCGAAACTTCATTTTAGAAGATCTACTAGGAAGCATCATCTATCAACCAAGTATCATGTATTAGATTATGTGTAGGTAAGTGATGAGAGAGAGCCAGAATGCTTTTAGAAGATACAATCTCATAAGAACAAA